GATCACAAAAATATTCCTTCTCCTTTCAAGAAAAAAGTGATAAGGTTCCAGGAATGATATCCTAAAAGACTCTTAATTGTTATTATGTGGAATTTTCTCAATTCTTGCAGGTTCAATGTCATTGAGAGGAAAGTGGTTTTTGTAAATTTATTCATTATTCTATCCCCAGCATAATAAGATGATAACTATTCTATAGCCCCCATATCATCATAGTATATTTGATATTATATCAGCTCTCAGATAATTTAGTAATTATTTTATGGAACACCATTTTCTTCTCTTAAAGCTGATGCTTCTAATCTGTAAGAGCATTGGGTCACCCTGACATCAAATTTGTTCTTACTGTTTGACATTGGGTTTTGCTGATTAGATTACTTGTTGGAATAGAAATGACTAGTACATATTAGTATGTAAAAGTAAAAGGTCGAGGTTATAATGTTGCTATATTATTCTACTGTGTTAAAAGGAGTTGGAAGTCAATGTTTTTCCCCCTTTCCCCTACAAATTTTTCTCTTCTATTTTTCCTCCTGCATTTTCCCACTGTTTTAATTTTCTTTTATATTTTATATTTTCAAAGAACTTAGTAATATTATTAAAAATATTTGTTCTTACTGCTTAAAGAGTGGAATGGAATAAGATTCTCTAGGGCATCATTTCCCCTTTGAATTTATTTTGTTCTTTTCTCTATTATATCCACTGTCTTAGTGAACATTTTTCTTTTTATATGGCCAGCCAGATTCTTTTTCTAAACCAGTTTAGTTAACTTTGATGTTCTGTGACTTTTGTGGTCTCTGAACAGTTATGTGTAAGCCAATTAAAAACTTGTTTTCATTTTTTTGTTATAAATCTTATCCAGTTGTATAAAAATAGAAAGTACAGTTTGTGCAGCTAACGGTATTGTTTTAACTATAAAAATCAATTGTTACTTTATACTCATTCGTACTGTCTCGGAGTTGGCTTTGAGCCTTAGTTTCTGATGTGTGGTTGTTGCTGGAAATAGTTTTCTCCCCTGGCATCTAAATTTAGCCTATACTTCTAATAAAGTTAATTTCTCATACCTATTATTTAATGGCAATCAATGTAAACCATTCTGAGAACAAAGTGAGCTTTGGATGCCAGCAGATTGTCAATTTTCAGTTGTTTTGACAGTCTGTCCTATGATTACACATAGCATACCATGTCTTGTTTTTTTTAGAAGTACTTTATTTTCATCTCTGGGTTACCTCCTTTTGATTCAAGACAGAATAGCAGAGGTTGTAAACCCATTGTTTTCATAGCAGGGCAATATAAATTCTCAGTTAATGTGTTGGGTTAGATCAGAATTAAGACACTGTTCTGCTCCTTCAATCCTCTGGGTGATCAAATAAATGAATTAAACAAATGAGGTTTTTCTATACAAATGAATGATCCCAGAACTATTTTCTGGGGAACCTCACTTTGAGCATCTCATCAATGCAAGAATTTCCCATTTCTGATCATTTTTTAACTAGTTGCCAATCTATGCGAGCACCCCTCGTTTTCTTCCATGGTTCCTGAGTTTTCAAAGGTGGGACTGTGAGGGACTTGTGTCCAAAGTTGTTTTAAAGGCCAAATATATCATGTTTTAGAGTAGTGATCCAACATGCATCATTGTGTAAAGGCATTTTCATTCCTTTTCATCATGTCCCATGTTTGCTTATTTTCTTTGTAATACTATTAAAACAATTGCCATTTAGATGATCACAAAAAGTTCCTAAGAAGTTAGTAATAACAGCAACAGTTCCAAAGAATTCCAACAAGATGAAAATAAAAACAAACAGAAAAAGCCAGTGCTGCTGTACAAAAAAAAATCATGTCGGAGCGGTCACAATGAGGAATATGTAGCCTGGAATAGTAGTCAGTCTTAGGCAAGTAACATGCAACATGAACGGATGTTGGTTGAATGGATATTAAAAATTATGGCAAATGGCTTCTTTAGAAATATTAAAAATAAAGATTCACTTGGTCAACAGGGATGACAAAGGTGCCATTACCAATTTTTATTTTGGCTCAATCTTCCCCAAGCACAGGCTACACATTTCATAAAGCAAATGCAAAATGTAGGTTGAAGGGACATACTGGAACCTTGAGATTCAGAAACATGGTATTGGAATGTTGGTATCTGTCCAGATTGCACTTTAGGATACTCAAGGAACTTGCTGATAGTTTGGCCAAATTATCATGTATTTGAGAAATACTGGAGAACATGTAAAGGTCACAGAATAGGGATGGCAAATGCCCTTGGAGCTACAGGGTGATTAATCTGCCATTTTGACCCAGAAAAGCTATAGTAGACGATTTAAAAAAGTGATTAACATGCAATTGCCTTGAAATAAATGTCAGCAGATAAGATTACTGAGCAGTTCATTTTTTTAAAAAATGAGCTCACTTCCTTAATACAATGTGGAAATTTTGTAGATACAATTATTCTGATGTTTGCAAGGTTCAGACTCAGAGTCTTTAATCTTAAACATGTTTTCAATTACTTGGATGAGAACAGGATGAGAATCTCCATCACATTTGTACACGAGTACAAATTTGGATGGAATAGCTATGACTGTAGGAAAAATTCAAAATTATCCTGATACAGTAAGAAATGAAAATAACCAAAGTTTAGTAGAGAAAAAGCAGTCAGATGGAGATATTAGGATGGAGGACACTTAGCTAGTATCTGTATTCCAGGAAAGAGTTTGGAATCATTTATTTCATTTTGAGAAAGATTAGCTTTATGAAAACAAAAGAGAATCCACCATCCAATCAGAGCTGAAGAAGCTTCTAGGATGAGAAACGAAATGTCTTCAAAGAGAGACCAGAAAGTTGTTGCCTCTTGAAAAAAAAGCATCTTTGGGACAACCATAACCCAGGTGACTGAGAATCTCTATATCCTGTTCTATATTCTAGAACAGAGTTTGTAAAGTTTGAAAAGCAATGGATTTAACTTATGGGAATATTGATTTCTGGTGGATGTTTAAAAATAATTCAAATAGAGCTGTTTGATGGCAGAATCAGGTACTGACATGATGGGCTTCAGTAGGTAAGTTCAAGTATCAGCAGTGTAACTTGTGGATGCCTTAATTTGAATTCTTGCATGGAATAGAGATTTGAAATTGGTAGTTTAAATCAGTGTTTCCCAACCTCAGCAAGTTTAAGATGTGTGAATATCTTAAACGTTCCAATATTGCTGCCAAGCATGCTGACTCGGGAATTCTGGGAGTTGAAGTCTTTGCTTATTAAACTTGCCAATGTTAGGAAACATTGGTTTGTAGCAAATGATATATTACTGTTAAGAATAATCAGTGTCTTCTATTCCAGTACAGAATTAATTATAACCATGAAAGGTACAGCCTTGTTTAAGATGTATTTGTCAGACATTAATATCCAGAAGTAATATACATAATTCATGACATTTGTACATCCCCTTCATGTAGATAGCATTTCTATGCACATAATGCAGTATAAACTTAGAAACTTGAAGCTTAGTTCAGCATTTTTTCTTAGAGCAATTTAGGATGGATTCATTTCTTTTATAATCACTCAGTTTTTCTTTAAAAAAATTAAACCATGAGTTTTCGCCTATTCCCAATAATAAAACTCTATAGTAGTTGAAATTATCTGGAACTAGTCTAAAGATAGTCCTTGGGTTATGACCATTCATTCAGCTACTGTTCAAAATTATGATAGAACTGAATAAATGAAACTTACTATATGATGGACCCTTGGTATTCTGTCCATTGCATTGCCCCCCTGGTCACGATTGTGATCCAGGTTCTTGGCTCATGATTATGTTACAGTGAGCTATGGCAGGGACGTGCAGTCACTAGAGGCAAGGGAGGTGGGGCCTCACCAGTCTCCTCAGGGAAAGGAAGGAATTTTAAATAATTTTTTAAAAAATAATTAAAGCCAGGGTAGTTGCTACCAGATTTCAAGTCACAGTGGCTTCGTGTCTGCTCTCAGTATTAACTAGGAGGAGGCCAGAGAACTAGGGGCCTCTTTTGCATAAGGAATTTTTCGCCTTTTAAGAGTTAAGCAAGGGTTAACAAGCAAAGAATTCCTTATGCAAATGAGGCACGTATTCTTTCGCTTCCTGCAGAGGGCATTTTTAGAGGCTTTTTAGAGTTCTCTGGGAGCAACTAGCTCAGTCTGACAGAGCTCTGGCTTTTCAAGAGGGGAGGGCATAGCAGGGCAGGGAGAAGCAGAGTTGAAATCGTCTCTGAAACAGCTGGAAAAGGTGCGTGTGGGGAGGGGGGAGGAATTCAAAAAGTTTGATCAGCAGGCAGGAGGGGAAGGGGGGGTATGGCAGAGGAGCTGCTTTCAAGCCTTTGGAAATATATCCAATCCAACTTCTGTGTTTGTGTTTGAGAGTGAGTGAATGAGGGATCGAAGTTCTCTGTGTGCGTGTGTCTGTTTGAGAGAGGGGGGAGGGAGGGAGGGAGGAGAAAAAGAACGGGAAAACTTTTTGCAAGGGAGAAAAATGCTGTCGCTTTAAATCGGAACTGAGCATGCCTGGCTGTGGAATTCTGGGAGTTGAAGTCCACAAGTCTAAAAAGTGCCTCACCAGGGCTAAAGCTGACTGCACATCACTGAGCTATGGTCATAATTTCTGAAGTTTCTTGCTGACCTCCCACAAGCAAAGTCAATGGAAAAGCTGGCAGGAAGTTGGAAGTCAAGGTCACCTGAGGTCCTTCCTTAATGACAATAACCAGGACAACTTGGACTGCCATTGTTAAGCAAGGTGGTAATGTGACGTTGCACAACTATATTACTGAATCATTTAGCTATGGCAATTATGAGTCTAATTGCCATTGTAAGCTGAAATCCAACTGTAACGAGTTTACTAACTTTCAGAACAACCATAACTCATTTTATGTCTGGTAATTTCCAATCTTGAGAAAAACAAGGTTTTTTAAAAAAAATAATGGATGCAACATGGGTGGTGGTGGTGGAAGTGTCCTTTTGAAGTTTTATATAATTAAACTCGAATGATAATAATACGTTATAAATTTAATGAACTTAGTAAAATGATACAAACAAAATACAGTAGAAGATTAAACGTTTTTTGATACTGGCATATCTTTATTGCTGTATTAAGGTTCGGCAGATGAGGATTCTTCAACTGCTTTAATTAAGAGTTCTGATATAACTGTAGAAATCAAGTTACAGAACTGAATTTAATAACCGGCCCATTTATGAAAAACTTGCAACACACTTTGGAACATCTGAGATAAAAAATATACATTCCAAAGAGACTTGGCTTGGATGCAGAGTGTGGCTGCTGATCCACTGCTGTGCAGCATTGATGGTCATTTGTGACCACAAGGTAAATGCATCCAATTCTTCCTTCCTCCTGAAAGACAAGTGCTACATATGCAGCTACTATGATTTTGTGGCAAGTGGTTCAGTTCACAAAAGTCACTCTTTGTGCAGTGTTTGATGAAGATGAAGATAAAGTGGCTTCTTGGTCAACAACTGAAGTTTCTTCCTCTTGAAATCAGTGGGTTTTTTGTACCTATGATTATAAAGAATAGTAAATATCAGAATTAATCTTAATGCTGTTTAGGAACCTACCCCAGATGATTCTTTTCTTACTTAAAAGGATTTTGTATAATTTGAAAAGCTAGGTAAAAAGAATACAATTCTTAATCCTAATTTGTACCTCCACAATTATTGTCCCATTTAAATTCAGTGGCACTTGTTTGGTATAAAACTGTCTCAAAATTTGTTCTATACTAATTATTCAGATAAACATTCTTTCACTTTTCTGTGTACCGGTTTTCTTCCAAATTAAGCCAAAGCAGTTAAAATGGTTTCAGAATCACAAACATAATCGAATATCTATTCTGAATATTACATTTTGAAGGGGGGAGGTACAAA